GAAAAACTACAACCAAAGGCAAAAATCCTCAGCTGGTCTAAACTTCCAACTATTCACTAGCTTAACTGGGACACTCCAGAGGAGCAGAAGTTTGTCTCCAACGCGTCCCTTCCGCCAAAGCTGGGCGGATACTGAAGCACACTGGGGAAGAGGAACGCAAGAAAAAATGCTGTTTATTTCTAGTTGGCCGAGAGTTTAGCTTTACATTATTTTATAACATTCTTTGTATTAAACCATCTGGGCACAAGAGCTGTAAAAATAAATACATAAAAAAGACAAGGTTAAGTGGACTAGCCAATGAACTTGAAATATCTCTAATTTGTTATAATGTATATTGCTGATCTTCTTTAGGGTTTGCTGAACAATACTTTCAAGAATAGCTTCTTCCTTTCCCTTGGCCTGGGGCTCATTAGTCATGTTCCAAGGCATCAGGTTTCCATGACAGCAAACATTAAGTCTCTTACAGCATTGTCCTTTATTTTTGCTCTAAGTGCTAAGCTTTCACTCCTATACTTCAGCCCAGACCTGCTATCCTCATGAAAAAAATTCCTTGACCAAACTTAACAGTCATTTAAACCAAGAACGACTTTTTATTTGTACTATGATCTTGCTAAAGAACACGCACTCTGCAGAATTTAGTAAATGTTGCCAAATTCTCCAGAAGGATGCTTTTACCTGCTCTGAGCTCACAAGTTCTTGGCAGCAATTTAAAACAAAAATATCACTATGTAAAATGATAATGCTGAACAAGTTGACTCCATGTCCATAAAGGTATCTGAAGTTAACGAAAATCCTACTAGGGATTAACTGCAGAATTCAGAACTTTAGTTAAAGACATTGTTTTATGGAGGTGAGGGAAACATCCCCCTTACACTGAAGCCTCCTTACACTGAAAAATATTTTCAGATGCATTTTTAGTGGAGTAGAATGTCATCAACGAGCACAGACAGGAGCTTTCTCTCTTTAAGAACTGTTTTGAGTCTTGTCATTTTGAGAGGGGACTGTTGATTTAATGTCAGTAGGCATCTTTGAAAGCCTCACTCACGCTGTTAAACTCTTCTAATCTTTCCTTAGAACTCAATCCCTCCTGACGCCTAATGTACCATTACTGTGTGTTGTATCACTCCAGTGCAGCACAGTGCTAAGCAGAGGAAAAAAATCATGCGTTATCTATTGTAAGGACTGTAAAATAAATGGAAAAAACAGTAATTCAGTATAAAGCTTTTATAGCTTAGCATTACTCTGTCTAACACAGAAATTCAGAGAGAACTGAATGTAAACTTTACAAAAATTTCCCACCTGGGTTTCAGGGGGCATTTCTTTGTAGGTGGAGCTGGGGAAGGGGGTCGAAGACTCGTTTTGAAAGGCTTTTTGTTAAAAAAAAAAAACGTTACTCTGAGAAAACCTAAATGCCAATTCCCCTCCAGTTCCTTGTAAGAGTCGACACACATCAGTGAGCCACAACAAACAAATCCATAATGAAAAAATAATTCAAAATGATAAGAATTCATGAATCCTATAAGTTCCTGCCACACTTTTGCTTCTCTCTCATGATGATTTGTCATACTTCTTAATATTCCTTTTGACATAATTACACTTATTTTTATCCAAGTCTGCTCTCTCACTTTCTCTGTAATTGCCCCGATACGTTCAAAGATGTCACAATTCATGAGCCACAATGAGCTGCATGACAGAGAACCAGTCCTCTCTCAACTGGTAAGGCAGTAAGATCACAGTAAGAATCCTGCAGGCAGAGAACACTAATAAATTCAAAAAGCTTTTTGTTAGATGCAGCTGGCAAAAGCAAGGGAATCTAGGCTAACAACATGACCATAGTTAATGGTTATTTTGGTAAATGCAGTTTTGTTAAGTAGGAAACGTGCTTGGAGTTTGTCAGCAAGGTGAGAGTTTAGATAACTGCAAAAGACATTAGTGAGATTAGGAAAACTGTTAGGGAACAACGTCCTGTTTTTTAGTATCTTTTTGATAGTAGTCTCATGAAGTAAGCTCAGAAAGCTTTATATGGAGCATTACCTAGAATAACCAGACAGCCTGGAAAGAGAACCATAAATAGCCAGCAGAACTGAAAAGGTCAATGCTTCTAAGAGATTTGCGAGCATGTACTACAGTCCGCTTTGAGAATTAACAAAGAACTAAAATATCAAGAGAGGCATAAATCTTACGACAAGCTATACCCCACTGTTCATGGCTATGGGGTTCAACAAAGATGATGGTACACATGTTTTGGCACAGTGACATAAAGGTAACCTGACAATAACTGGGTTTCATTTAGGCTTTTGATCTTCAGAGTTGGACTGAATGCCATTATAACACTCACTTAGGTGGGTGACCTGTTTCTCACTGAAGGTTGTAAAAACCATGAATACAAGTTTTACCTTTCTACACCAGTTTGTGCTTAAGTACACTAAAAGGACAGGACTTAGGAGACATTTGCAAAAGTCATATTTAGCAAGGCTCATCTGTCTACTTTCTTTTGCCTATAGAAGGGCTACAGAAAGAGGAATGTTTTTTAGAGTAAGAACATAATTTAACAGCTCTTTAAAGTACTTACCACATACTTTCCGTCCAGCTTGGTAGCAAAAGGCAATGAGCATAACAGGCACAACACATCCCAATGATTATCTGGGCTAAGATAAGGAAACTAGACAGTTTTCCTTTGCAGTTCTCAAGTTGACACTGGGTACATCAGTTTGGCAACACTATTTGGTTCAGATGCAATATTGGTATCACTCTCATAAATACCACCAACTAACGTATTATTTTTTCCATAAGGAATTCATCATGTGAAATAAAAGAGGGAGAAGTCCTATGGTTCTTCTTAAAATGACTAGAAAGATAGGCTTATGATGTCCATATTCATACTAACAAATTATCGTCTTTTGGCAGCTCTTATATTGATATATTCCAAAACTCAAGGAATGTGACAGCTATAAAATTATGAGAGTCAGAGAGTCACAGTACAGCTCAGAAAAAGAGTAAAAACAAATGAAACTACTGATGATTTCATTGAATAGAAGTCACTTATAAAAGCAAACAGCTAGACTGGTAAAGAGCCTCTTTACACATTCTGAAGTGGCTTCTTAATCAATTAAATACTCCATTTTAAATAACTTCATTTCAAACCTTGAGAAAATAACACACAACTCATACAACTTCATTAATTTACTATTAAAACTGGATGTTTTCAGATCTATTAAAAGCCCTTCAGCAATTTCACCGTTTTTTCAGTGCTGAAAGTATCCCTTTGACATCAATACAGAAAAAAACAGATGGATAAAATAATTATAAAATGAGCAGCATGACGCTATGAACCAACTTCTCACAGTTTTACTAACAGGCTAAATAGCACAGGCATAAAATAAGTGGGTTGATAATTAGCAAAGTTATCATGTTATGTCAGAGCGTTCCAAAAAAAAAAAAAAAAAAAAAAAACCACCCCCCAGGAAGATACAAACAGAAGGAAGGAGCAATGAAAAACTTAGAATAATCATGCAGGATATTTAAAGATTACAAAAATCTCTGAGGGAAAATGCTGACTGTGCATCCCAGAAATCAAAGAGAGTAAATGTTGACGATAAATGCAAATCGATGCTTGGATCATCCTGACATATTTGTCTGATAACTTACCTAAATTCTGTATAGGATAATTTCATGATTTGACAAATAGACAAAAGGATCTAGCTATGATTAACGGGATAAGATGGATAAAAGGTAAATTCTCTCAGCTTTGAAGTCTATTAAAGAATGGAGTAATCTCTCCAAGGAAGCCAGTTCAATCCGTCTATAGAGAGACCAAATTACTCAAGATCCAACCTTCTCATCCCCCCCCCAACCCCTGCCAAAAAAAAAAACCCCACGGACTCACAGAGAGATGAGCAAGGTAACGCATCTGCTGCCCCACACAAAACTAGTGTTTATATCACACAAGATGTACAACCCAACTGATTCTTCTCCTTCTTCAATTTTACCCTCTTCCCATTTGTGTAGTTTGCAAAGTTAAATAAGGTTAATCAAACCGTCCAGCCTTCACAAAAGTAGGCCACTTTCAATTTCAAGAAAACTGTTTTCTCCCAATACGTGTGTGCATTGGGGACTGCAAAACTGCATTGGGAAATGCAGTCACTGGATAGTCATATTTCCCATAACATCCTCATAGACAAGCTGATAGAGTATGCGCTAGATAAATGGACAGCGAGGTGGACTGAAAACTGGCTGAACTGCCCAGGTCAGAGGGTTGTGATCAGCGGCATGAAGTCCTGCTGGAGGCCAGTCACTAGTAATGTCCCCCAGGGGTTGACACTGAGGCCAATAGTGTTTAACCTCTTCATTAATGACCTGGACAATGAGACCAAATGCACCCTTGGCAAGTTTGCAAATGATACAAAACCGGGAACAACGGCTGATGCACCAGTTAGTTGTGCTGCTATTCAGAGCAACCTCAACAGGCTGGAGAAATGGACAGAGAGGAACCTCACAAAGTTGAAAAAGGGGAAGCACAAAGTCCTGCCCTTGGGGAGGAATGATCCCATACACCAACACATGCTGGGCACTAACTGTCTGGAAATCAGCTTCGCAGAGAAGGACCTGGGGGTCCTGGTGGACAAGTTGAATACAGGCCAGCAATGCACCCCTGTGACAAAGGCCAACAGCCTCCTGGGCTGCATTAGGCACAGGGTTACCAGTAGGTCAAAGAGGTGATCCTTCCCCTCTGCTCAGCACTGGTGAGGCCACATCTGGAGTGCTGGGTCCAGTGCTGGAGAATAGGACAGGAAAAGAGAAGGCTTAGAGGGGATCACATCGATACGTATAAATATCTGATGGGAGGATGTAAAGGCGACAGAGTCAGACTCTTCTCAGCGGAGCCTAATGACAAGACACAATGGGCAATGGGCACAAACTGAAACACAGGAACTTCCACCTGAAAGCAAGAAAACACTTCACTGAGAGGGTGGTTGAACACTGGAAGAGGTTGCCCAGAGAGGCTGTGAAGTCTCCATCCTTGCAGATATTCTAAATCTGACTGGACATAATTCTGGGCAACCTGCTTCAGCTGCCCCTTCTTGAGCCGCCAGAGGGTTGGACCACATGATCTCCAGAGGTCCCTTCCAATCACAACTATTCTGTGAATCTGTGGTGAATACTGAGTCAATAGGTACATGAGATCTGCTTCACCCTAAAATCCCAGCAGACTAATTTCTTCTCTTCAGGATATCTCCTGCTCTCAAAGTGTGCACCTCCAAAGGCTGCAGCATTTCTCCAGATGCAGGGGAAATAAGAAGGGGATAAGAAAACAAAGGGAAATACACAGAAATAGGCCATCTGCATGGAGGAGCAAAAGGACTACTAAAACCTGGGAGAGGCCTGCTTAGAGTCAGAAAAGTTTTCTAGATTACATAGAGGTGTGTGGGTTGTGCTTTAATAGTAGTTGGAGAACTGTCTTCTTAGGAGCGGAGAACAGGAAACAGCAGAAAGACAGCACTGCTAAAAGAAAGTGGCTGTTCCAAAAAGAAGCATGTTTCTTTTTACGCTAGAAGGGTTAATCTGTCCAGAATAAGTTTCTGAAATCAGGGCCCACAATAACTTGAATTTTAGAAAAAAGAATTGTTATTAGATCAGAATAATCATTACATTCAAAATAATGGACATTTGTACAAAAGTAGAGTCATATGGTCAGCAGCAGACCAAAACTAGTATAAATACCTCTTCCAAGTATTGTCAGGATAACATTGTAGTTTGACAAATCCTGTAGCTAAAAGACATCATACAAAACAAGAGTTCAGTCCAGCAAGGAAGAGAGAGTAGATCAAGTGTAATTACAGTTCTGAGAAACTGTATAACAGTGTAATGCAGGTATGCAATTGTTAAACCCGCTGCTACATGAGCTGACCTTCATCTTGACCATTATACAAACAAATCCCTTTAGGTATTGCTTTTTGGTATTTCTCTGAGGATCTGGCACTTTGGGTAGCAATTTCAGCATATGTTTTTTATAGGTGTATATAGCAGTTCTCTCTCCAGGTAATTTTAACATTAAAATGCAGGCTTGTTCATGTACTCTTCCACTGTCTGGAGAAAAAAGAAAGAAATGATTAAGGTATTATGGAGTTGTGAAGTAGGATAACATAAAGCCTTTGAAACAGACCCTCTTGTTCTCTTTGAAGGTAGTTATAGTTTTGCGTGGAATTAGATCAGATTAAAATTTAGCAATAATGCTACTTCGAAAATCTTAATGGCCTTTCAGAACCTGCTCTTCAAATCACAACATACCACAGCTACTGCTAAACTCATCATATCTAGCTGGCCTTGGCACGTAGCTGGCCTCGTAGCATGTGCAAATTCCAGACCACTTTGAAAAAGGCTCTACTCACACAGTGTTTCCCTAGCTAGTTCTACCAACACGTTGTTTCCTTTAACATTAGATCATCTAGAAATACAAAGTAAATCCATTACGTTCAGCTTCTCTTGCCATTCCTGGCTCAACATTACAAGTTACAGAAGAAAATTCCTGCAGGGTTTTGAATAAAGGTTACATACCTGTGCCTTGTAGAAAAACTACACAGGTATTTATGGAGAAAAATGGAGGTTTCCAGCACACCCTTATTCTGATTTTAAAAGCTATAGGTAGGTCATTTGTTTCCAATTTATTAGTGAAGCAGTATAGATTTTTTCATATTTACACACACATATGTATACATTAAAAGATAATCTTAGATCATACACATATACTATATAAATATCTTAGATATATCTTAACCTGCTTCTTAATACAGTGACTAAGAAACTATACCCCCTAAGCCAAAGAAAGCAGTGGCAGAATGCAGGAAACTTCCAGCTGATTTCATAAGAGGCAAGAGACTTCAATTAAAATGTTACATAACCGCTACCTTAACTGTTGTACCTTGTGAAACTGAACTTAAGACACATTTGGATAATCAAATACCAGGAGTGTTTAGTTGTATAAGCTCCTGTCAAATAAGGAAGCTGTAGAAAGATGAAGTGTTTGCCTTTCGTATCTTACCTCTTGCAACATGTCAGAATCTTCTATAGCTTTCACTGCAGACCTCTTTGAAGTTTCTTGTACTTCTCCACCCATTATAAATTCATCAAGAATAAAATAAGCTTTTTCAAAATTAAAGATTATATCCAGCTCACATACCTGGTAGAACAAAAAACCCCACCCCACATTTAAATCAATTTTACAGCATTATGCCAAATGCTGTTAAATTATCAAGTGAATTCAACATATGCATTCTTTTGGCAGGGAGCAGAGCAAAGAAGGATACTGCATATTACACAACACCACAGCTTCTGCACACATAAATCATTATTCTCTGCACAAACATAGGCTAGATATAAAGATGTTCTATTTATTATATTTTGTATAACAAATTATATTCGTATCGAGTTTCAGAGAACAAAGCTGACTTCCTATCCTAGCCTACAAACCTTATAGTAGGTCTTATATAGCACATGTAACATGGATTACGTACATTCATATAGAACTTCACAGTGCAAGACAAATTTCCTGTCATAGTGACCTTACAGTCACCAACTACTTCTTTGTTTTGAGACTGTACATATGTGAGTCATGACACAGTGATTTAGATAAGGCATGAACTGAGGCAGTTGGAACAATTTCAAACATATGCACGGAAGAAATGGGTCTCTTGCAGTCTTTAAAGACTTATCTGAACCTTCTTCAGGCCGTTTTTTTTCTAAAAACAAAAACCCTTTATATTTCTTCTCTTGTATATGCCCTTAATTTTTGCACAATATTATGAAACAAAAAAAAACCCCAGCATACCTGAAGATGTCAGGAGGGAGAACTAGAACACTGTCACCCAGGGTTTTTAAAATAATTTTCCTCTAGCTTTTCCCTCAAATTCTGTTGCCAGAAGAAGATGCAAAACATCAAGATTGATTTTGTTTTGGGAGAAAGGATGGAAAACATCTTTTTATGATAGTTTCAGCATTATTTTATTACATATTCTACTAATGAGTCCCACACTGGATTGACAGGCAGAGTCTATCAGGGCAAGCAGTGCAGATGGAAACATTAAGCAGAGCAGCTACAGCTAATTGCATTCCTGGCTGCCTGATAAACAAACAGTTTATGGTAGAAAGCGAAACCTACATTTCCAAAATATCTGTCCAGTAGCTCCACATATCGATGAACGACCTCTAGTGTCAGGAGCTCATTATCTTGGTCTTCTATTGCACAACAGAAGTACAAACTAGCATACCTAGGAAAATAAAGGCAAAAACATGAGAGCAAGGCAACTGGATTCTCAGTGCTTTGCTCTTTGCAAAGCAACAAATCAAGCGAGAACGTCTATTTGGTCTCTAAAATAGCTGTTTTCTTTCTTTCTCACAGTGCTCCAGGGAGCACTTAAAAAGAGAAAGCAAGTTAAACAAATTATTAATTTAGCGTAAAGAAAAAAAGCCACCCTTGGCAAAGTGGGAAACCTCGGGAACGTCAGAACCCCAAAACTGGTTCTTAGCAAAACAAACAACAAGAAGCACTTCAGAGGTCTACCTCATCTGCTGCAGTAGCTTTACAGCCAAGTGGGATGAATTAACTGTAGAATGAGTTATTTGCTCTTTGTTAAAAAAACAGATAGATAGATAGATACATAGGTAAAAATAAAGGTGGAAGGAGCTACAGCTCAGCAAGCTTGAGGCTATCAAAGCCTAACAAGCATGGCAAAACTTTACACTTAAATCAGCCTAAGATGGGAGTAATAAGTACCTAATTTTCTTTCTGGTACAGCGGCTAGAGCCCCAACTTGTCGCAGCATCTGATCAGATGTTTACATCTATCATTTCACCTCAAGGTATTCAATTTTTGCTAAATAGGAGATGCTGCTCAGTTTGGATAGTGTGCTATATTTAAGCCTAGTTTTGTTTACTATAACTTTACAAGGATTAAAAGGCAGTTATTGCTAAGCATCACGTAACTAGGGAGCAACAATTTGTTTGGAAAAGTAAACAAGAATTAACAACCGCCAGAGCAACAAATATTTCAAAGACAAAATTGGACAAAATGTTGAAAGCCCCTCAGAACACTTCTCGTAACCTTTTAAGAGTCTGATAAAGCCTAGCACACTTCTCAGTCAAACATCTTGAAGATTTAGAAGGGGGACTAAAGCCTAAAGCCTTCCAACAGACTTTCAACCATTAACACTTATTATATTCTCCTCATGCAGGGGGTTAGACTCCACATGGAAGATGCGTACTACCATGCTCTGGCACTTAGCACTTTTTAAAACAAATGTAAGCATTTACTTTTTCTCTTCTAGCATGTATGGTATTTAAGTGAATAATAATTGTATGTTCTCATAAAATTACTCACACCTTTTGTAAACAAGCTTGAGGTCTTTCCAGTCAACAAAACTGCTTGTTTTTTGATTGCGAGCCAAAATAATCTGAACGATTTCTCGAGTGATCTTTTTCTTCTCTTTCTCAGGTAACGTCGTATACCACTTCTGAAGCCTTAATTTCCCCTGTCGACTGAAAAGCAGTATAAAGTGTATCTAGAGTAAACAAAGCAACATGGTTAATGCCAGCCTCTTGTCCACATAGTGCCAGGCAGAACATGCCCGTGTCTGAATCAGGAAACCTGTGAGATCTTAGTGAAACCATCTCTAATATCGATGTGAGTTTTGGACATGGTGTCAGTGAAGTTTGGGAGGGCTAAGCATGAGACTGGAGATCACTCCCTTCAAGTGTGGAATTTGACTTGACCATTTCAAGTCACAAATAAAGGACTGTGATCCTAGAAGAGGCTACAAGGAGCAGAAGCAACCAACCAACTACTTTGGAAAGGGAGCTTGACAAGTTTTACAAAAGAAACCACTAGCTTGTGAAACACAGTTTATTATGATGACAAAGGACAAACCTCAGGGCCTAGGACATTACAATACTAAAAAAAGCACTGCATGTGTATCATTCTACTAAAATTTCAATTTTAAAGCCAGTCATAATTTTGCATGATTTGACCTACAATTTTTTCATGCTTAGCATTACCAGTATTATTGCAATACAGAATGGTTAGCTTTTAAAAGCCAATAAGCTTTTGGGAGCAAATTATCAATTAACACTTAAACAAATACTTTTATTAGTAGATTAAAGTAACTGACCATACTATGTTTACAAGCAGCCTAGCAAGCCATCTATCCTCAGCAAGGAAACGGCTTTGAGAATGCAGGAAATCTATTTGAAGATGTCCAGTCATCTCAACGGGACGTAGCCTACTAAATGAAAAAAACTTAATAGGGATAGAGATGTTTTCAATAGCTCTAGAAAACGTGAGCTGACAGGCACCCCGATGCCCATCACTTTTCTCATCAGTACCAACGCTTAGGGTGCTGAGGACTCGCAGGACGGACGTCTAACTGCAGTTACAGATATGTATATGGCGGGCACAGTCCCAGTTGCCTATGCAAAGAAACAGGGCTTTCCCCATGGTCACAGCAGCTAGGGAGAAGGATAAGAGCCTCTTTCTCCTCACCTGCTCCCAATCCTAGCAAACTCAGAGCAGAAGAGAGCTTGGGGCTGGCAGGCCCCTTGCCATGCCCCCATTCCCATCAGCCTAGCCTGTACTTCCCTTTAGTTTCTCAGTATATGCCCTAGTTCCTTCTCCCTCTTTGTTTTCCAACCCAGCTTATCCCTGTGCCTACACTTCATCTCACCAGTAAGGATTAAAGTTAAGGTTCATAATTACTATCAAGATTACAATGCAGATTTCCGTAAAGAAAAAAAGCCATTCTGCACTTTCGTGAAGTCAAGGCAGAAAAGTGCACCATAGAAGCTCTTGCTTAAAAATAAAGAAAAAAATGAGCAGCTGGGTTTAAAAAAAAAAAAAAAGTATTCATAATTCAGAACTATTCTCTAGCTAGTAAGTCACATACTTGTTGAGTAATCTGGAAATAGGAGTGCTGAAAATCTTGGAAAAGACTTCAAATGTGGGACCATTTTAAGGAAAGGTGGTTTTATTTCTGTCTGTCACAGGATCACTACAGCTGCAAATATGGCTCTTGCTGTCATTAGACTAATGTGCTTGATAAAATTACAAGGATTTTGTGGCTGCCTTGTGTTGAGTACTACAGTACTCTCCAGATAAGTTTGCTAAATAAAAATAATTATACTCCTGGCAGTACACATGGCCTGATTACAGTGAAGATCAAAGCACGATGTTCTTGCTTTTCTCTGTTCATATTACCAACTGGTTTTTGACATGGTAATATTCCAGCTGTCTATACCCACTCCCAGTAAATGAAGGGACTTATTGTCTGTACGCTTGCCCTCTGACAGGAGCTGGATGAACGAAAGACTAATTTGCTCCCTGCATAGCATACTAACTTCAAAGCCTTTGTAAAGACGAGTGTCTTTTGAAAAGCAGAGCAACAGCTCTGAAGATGCCGGGTCAGCAGGTGTCCATTTTAGGGTAATCAGGCACAGGGAGCAGCTATTTGATAAACCTATGTCTAAAATACGTTGAAATAGGCAGGACAGGACGATCAGATTCAACTGAAAATGCAGGGAGTTGGCAAATCCCAGGTAAAAAGTGTGAGCATGTTCAGCAAAACAAAATTCACGTTGAGACAGTTTCTTGCATTCTCAGAAATGAGATGTATTTGCTTGCAGTGCTTCAAGAGAGGAAGATAATGCCACTGTATTCTGGTTTAGGTTCAATTGTTGGACCTGCAGGCATTCAGATGTAAGGTCCTGTAAGTCATACATATATCTCTAGGACAGCAACCATATACCTCCAAGAGGTTAAACACTAACAAGCCACAGGATTACTGTGAACCTTATTTCCATTTTCTGATGATTGACTTGAATACGTTGTGCTTCACCCACAGGAAACTGAGCTGCTTTCCATTTAAAACTGCTTTGAAAACTCCACTAACTTTCTTCTAAAGATGCAGGTGATTTTTCACCAGGATCAGTGCATTTCCCTAAGTAAAAGGCAACATTTTCCTGAAGCAACCAAAAAATATCCATTGATACTCTTTAATACATTGAGATTCACACACAAGCTTCAAATATCCTGTCTTTCGGGCCTATGCTCTATTTCATAGGCAATACATAACTGCATACCCCATAATCAGTTCTACAATATGAAACATTTATAGCTAGAAAACAGGTAAGAGCCACTACTGTAGTCCATCCCCACGCTAATTTTACTTGCAGCAAAACAGCATATACTACCGTCAAGCCTAAGTACGTATGACTGGCTAACTGAGACCTCCCATAACAAAGCAATATATTAGAAAGTTGCAGACACCTGAAAGAAAAAAATATTGTTTTTTTTCCTTCTGATTCTTCTTCCTTCTCCTAATTTCTAAACTCCACTCAACCTGGAGAATGGTCTGGAAGGCAAATAACATTACATTCTCAAGAGATTAAACAGTTTGATTCCTGTAAGTCTTAACATCAAATTTCTACAGACATTTCTTCATTCAGGTCAGCTTTGCCCAGACATATTGACAGGACACAACAGGTTTGTCGTTCAGGTAGCTCCATTCATTACAGCTCATTGGAGAGATTTTGATGCATCAATAAATCTGGAAATAGTGGAGTACTGCATAAACGCAAATCTAACAGCTCATTTGTTCCTTGACCTTGATTGTGGAAACGTGTGTTTTCCCATTGTGCTAAACATAGGACAGATGTTGATTAAGGGATTTTTGGTGGATGTTCAGCAACCAAACTACAAATAAGGATAGATTATCCTACAATTTTTTTTTTAAGTTTTAATTCTAGAGGAAAGCAAAACTAATGACTTGCTTCAAACAAACTACCTTTGAAGCAGAGGGCTTAGTTTTCTTTCATCACATTTTTAGGGTGTGTTGGATATGACTGATAATCACCCAACCCAAGGGTGATGCCAAAGACAATTTTTAGGTCTGAGCTAGAGTGGGTCAGATGCAAAGAGCAGTTCCTGTAAGAGCATCAGCTGTCTTCACATGTGGCGTCTGTAGGAGACAAACTTCAGTCTGGGAGCTAAGTGTAATTTTATCAGCTTGTTTTACTGAATCAGACTCAACCACCTACATACAGCACAGCTCCAAATGATCTCCATAAGTGTCAGTAAGTAGTCTAAAAGACTGCATTTTATATTTGAAGACCATATTATCTAGTTTAGTTGAAAAAACAGATCTGTTGGAAAATCAGGCATTCAAAATAGATTTCTGAAGCTGAACTCTATCCCCTTCTCATGTATCTCTGAATTAATTGCAGCTAGCTAAGTTATATAACATGATTATTTGCAGAAAGTTGTGGTGCCTTATATTTCATTGAGAACTACACAACTAGCCAAGGAGTATAAACATCATTGAGTTTTAGGGCTACTGAAAAATCAAATGACACAGCTTGACACAAAATTATTTCAGGGTAAACAGACCTCAAAAATGCAAAATACAAAAGGTCTACATGTTCCTAAACAGCAAATATAAGCCACATATGTAAAACTAATGAACATAGTGATTTTTCCCCTCTCTTCAGATGACCATTCCAGCTCCCTCCTTTTGCTGATGGGCTCTGTCACGGTTTGATATGCAGTTCACTCAAGCTCGTCTACCAAACTTCTCTCCTGAGACTCAAGGTTCCCTTCAGGTCAGCCTTTCAGTCTTTGGCCAGTTCACACTCTAGACCAATCAAATGCTTTATATTTGGCTGACTGGTTTCAAAGTTGGATCATCTCACAGAGGTCTTAACCAAAACCATACCGTAATTTTTAGGAAGATTGTCTAAAGCATTTAGTAACCATTCCAGACTATATTCTATTACATACAGAATAACTCATCAGTAAGGATATCAAATACAAAAGACAACATGGGAAGACAAAGCAGGTTTTCCTGACTCCTGTTCCTTGAGTTTACTGTCTAATGATACAAACATTTAAAGGTGCCACATTTATTCCTGCAAAGGGTCAGCGCAGTGAGAATCTAATCCACCCCGCTGCAAGAAGAACATGTGCTAGAAATGCTTCTCCTCCTCCCATAACAGGAGGGCAGGGAGGACAGAAGAGGAGACTGGCAGCTGGAGGACTCAGAAAGGAGCAGACTTTGCCTTTCTACTGCATTTTTGCAAGGATTTGCTCAACCAGCAAGCTCTAACACTCAAGCAGCACTGTTGTTCCACTCTGTGCTTCAGCTATAACCTCTCCAAACTCAGTTTAAAAACCTTTGACCTCTCCCTCATCAAAGTCAACTCTGAAAAAAAAAGAAATTGAATTTACAAGTAACTAATAATTACAAATGAGGGACTACTACCCTAAAATGGACAGCCTAGTAGAATTTAAAAGTCCGAGTTCTGATTTGTAGGCGGCAGGTAACAGTGGGGCAACAGGCAACGCAACATACAAAGTGCTAATAAGGAAAAACTCGTGGACCACAAAAAAGGAAATAGAAGAAAAAAGCCACACCTACAGCAGCTGATATGACAACCGCTGCTGCGAGAGCCTGCGGGAAACCCGCCTGACTGGCTGTACCCGGTTGAGACAAAGTGACTTTACATCATAATGTTCTCTTTTTACATAACTAGCTCTTTCATTCTGATTCCCTTGAAGTCTGCCTTTTCTTTTGGTATTGTTTTAGTCTAGGCAAGTTCATAATCTGCCTATCTTTTACTATTTGTTATTCTTTCTTACTATATGAAATAATATCTTTTCCACCAGACAGCTGTCCAGAACATTTTTTACAACACATAGACATCTGAAAGTGAACAAAAATACTTTCATTAAAGTGTTTCTTTAAATAAGTATGGGCGTCCAAATTATTTTGGTCATTAGCTGACTTTTTTTCCCAATTCAAAACATTTAAAGAATGACATTTTGCCTAGCGTTTTTTGGAGGGAGAGGAGTAAATGCTGACAATATTTCCAAGAAAAATGAATAGCTACTGTGAACAAACACATGGTTTGGAAAACCAGGCTTTTAGGGTGGACTGGAAAAGATGTACCGAATGGACAGCTATCCACCTAACATACTAATAAGAAACAGGCCACTTTAACAAAAATGTTTCCTTACATGTTTACTTTTACTAAAATTTTTATTTGCAGTATCACAGAAACTGATACATGTGTTTGTTAAATACTGTAGCATCTTAGCTTTAAAACATAAAACACATTTCTAATCTGTATGATGTAAGCAAAGCAGAAAAAAGAAAAAAGTGAAAAATAGCAACACAAGAACACCAAAATAAAGTATGGTTGCACAACTGGCGTGGAATTCTTTCTGGCTTCATCTCCATCAGGAAAATTTTGGAATGGTTTCTACTGAACAATACATCCAAAGTTCACGTAATAAAACCTGCACCAGATAATTATAGTCACATGTGACTGTAGTTACACATTGATTTTATTCTTTGTTGGATGCAGAAGTCACCTATATTATTATTGAAATAAAATTTTAAATTGATTGGCATATGAGAGATTAAAGGATATCTGCATCACATAGTACTGATCCTGCTGGCAATAACCTTCTTGATAGCCTCACCGGAGTTAAATAAAACTAATGATTTTGAAGTAGTTTTTGGCAAGTTCTGAGCCAAAAGCCTCTTGAATCCCTACATCTCAATCCCTACCTCAGAAGGCCAGAAATCACCAGCAATGAGGAGCTTTTCAGTCCCCGAGTCCAGCTGAGTCCTCGGCACCACGGCAGGCTGCTGGGTGTATGCAGTGACACCAGCACCAACCGCAGAGATGCCAGGTGTCCCTTGTCCTTCCACTCCTGCTTATCACCGCCTCTAGCGGGTCCAGCAGGTCTAATCCTGCTCATGCCAGCTTGCTCCTCATAAATTGGTAACGCTCTTTCAGTAACACCCTCCCTGCAATAAAGACTGGCATGTGCACTCCTCCTGGCGGGCTGCTGAGCCTCCCTCTAACAAGGAAATTAGGGTTTTTCTAGCATCTCTCTGAAGAGAAGAAACTGGACTGGTTTTCAAGAGAGCTCCTGAAACCTCCAAGACATTTCACCTAAAATCTCGAAGATGTAAATGTACGCAATGATGTTCGGGTTTTACAGAGGATAATTATTCTCAGTTTTTTAATCAGGACTTTTTTATTCACGCAAGTGGAATTACTCCAGTTTACAGGCAATAAGCAAGAGCAAATCCACACAGGGAGTATGCATAAACCCTGACTTTAACTCTGCAACTTGCGAAGAGCCCAGTGACAGCACTACAGCAACGTGAATCAGGAAAATGGCAAATCAGCCTCAGCACCAGGGCCTGAGAGCTGGCTGACCTCACAGAAAGCAATATAATTTGAAGACGTTCAGAACAATTATGAACTATGTAATCACATCCCTTCTGCCGCCTGGGTGGGGGGGTCTCTGAGCTGTTTTTATTTGTTTGTACGTTGTTAGGGCAAAAAAATTGTTAGGCAGCTATGAGGGGGAGGAGGATCAGGTAAGAGGCTGAACAAATCGCCAGAAGAGCTATCCCAAAAGAAATGACTCAGCAGAAAGCAGGGGAAGCACCAAGGCTGTTTTAGGTTTGTGGGGTTCTGTAAATACCTTTTCACAGCAGAGGATTAAAGAACAGCTCCACAGCTTGTGAGTCGTGCTAGCCCTGGTGCCTTTCATCACCACAAGAACCTACTCTCCCAGGCTGCTCTTCAAACACCTGCAAAGAAACAGAGCTAAACTCTCTGGCAGGAGTTACAGCCTCTTTTGTTCTCATTTCCAGTTTACTTCCATCAGTTACTTGCAAAGCCCTGCAGCCTGACCATCAGGAGCAAAGCTCACAAGCTTTGCGCTGGTGCGGGGGGCCGTGACAGAGGGATACAACAGCGTCCCGAGCTTGTCAGCCAGCAGGTAACATGCTCCCGCCAGAGGCGGCAGCGCTGGTGGCACAGGGTCATTCCTGGTCTTGCATGAGAGCTGGGGGAACTCCTGTGAGGCTGCTGCATCATCTCAGCAGAGAGGCGTGGTGAAAATCTGAGCTTCAGTAGGACCAAAGATACACGTGAGTTTGGATCGTATTTGCGAATGACTTTGAAAGTCCATGTGAGTCATTTTTTGGAAATACTGAAGCATTTCATTCAGCATTTTGTTTCCCAACATAGAAAAATCTCAGTTTTCCTTTTTGAAGTGGCACTTGTTTTAGTAAGGAAAAAAAAAATATGGATTTAATAACCTAAATGTGAAAGAAGCAACCACTTTTTAGGGAAGGGAGGGGTGAAGTACAGAATCTCATGAATGCTTTACGTTGGCCCAAAATTTTGCCTCCAGAATTAAAAAAATTGTTGGAGTGCAAACTTTTGGGCCCAAAACTAATTCTGCTATTCTAATTATGCTGCTCTAGGACAGGTCTTGCCATGAGACTTAGTGGAAAGAATGTGTTTGAGGTCCTAGCCCTCACCCCCAGCTCATCTATTTGCTGCTCTACAGGGCCACGGTGTACACGTCTCTGAAGAGACAGGTCTTCAAAAGCCTTATCTCATAGCTTAAATAAGCACAGATACAGATTAATAATGAATTAAAATTAAAAACTAAATGGCTGCTTTTCAACAGTCACACTGTCCAGTTTACCATCTATCTGTAATACGCTCTCCTCTGTGATTTATCAATGGGGGACAGAAGCAGGGAGGAACAGCACTGCAGTGGAAGTTTGCAGTAAAGCGAGGAATTGGATTTGAGTGTCTTGCTACTACCCCAAGCTACAGGACTAGCCTTTCTCAGTTCAGTTCACTGCGATATTGGCCTTTATATTCCTTCCTGGTTTGGTAGGACCCGATATCTGATAAGCTATATTGCTCTTGGGAGAGACCAAATCCAGAAAGGGATATCAAGTAGAACACGCTTTATCCTGGGAAGAGGATTAAGTCCCTTAAACTCTACAGCCTGGTGGTTATAAGTTGTGACACTTTCGTTTTGTAGGTTGTTTAGCCATTCTAATGGTTTTCCAAGAACTTGGAATAGACAGCTAGACAGACACCCTCTGCACACTTCACGCATTTGCCTTGTGGCACTTAACATACAAAGGCAGAACATGGTAAATTTCTGCATTTGCAAACAACATAAAAGCAATTCCATGTCTCGTTCCTTTGTGCTTTGTATCTATTGTTCACCTCAGGGGACTAAGCAAAAGGTGATAACCACACAGGAATTGCTATGCTAGTTAATGAGCTCCTGAGAACTGCAAGCAGCTGAGAGAGCCCACCTTCAAGTTCCAATGGCAACCAAAACGGCAATGACAGATGTTTACTGCCTGGCCAAGAGGACTTTTAATGCCCTCTCTCCTCTGCTAAGGTCTGAACAGAGGATAGCAGATAACCACCTTACATGAATTCAACAAATTAGAGAAGAAAACACCAGTGGATCCAGCACCTGGGGTTAAATCTGTGGTATTGGGAAAGATAAATCCATAAATCGAGAGCACATTAGGCCAGACAGACATGTCTGCCTAGAAAGACCTGTCATGCTTGCCTTCAAACACACAAACATAAATTTTGATTTTTCCAGCCTACCCCAATGGCTCTACATGCTGTATGCCTACTCACAAATAAACACTGCTTGTGCATGACTGGATGTCTTAAACCTCCCCTTGGCTTGTGCAACACTTGCAAAAGTGCAAAGGTCCAGGCCTGGCCACTCAGCAATGCATACACCCAAAGCAACCAAGGAAAGGCAGAGGACAGCCTGCAGGAACAGGGCAGTAGGGAAATTAAGGGCAGAGACAGTAATTAGTAGCTGTGCATGTGTGTTACAGGAAGAACTATTTTCACAAGAGCAGCATGGTTGTAATTTAGGCATCAGTGGAAAGACTACAACTGGCTCACATAAGTGCCTGACGAGGACTAAGCATGAACTTTGTAAATATTGCAGAGAGGAGCAGCTCCATCTGCATCCCCTCCTCCCCCCCCCCAAAAGGACTGGGCAGTCTCCTCAATGCCTATATCATTTTAGTACTTTGCTGCTCTTCTGTATCTTCCTCTAATTACTTCAAAATTCTATGCTTTATAAGCCATCCCGTAGACCTTTTGAAGGCATCCATTAAAAGCAAAAGCAGCCAAGGGACAAACATCTTACACGATCCAAATGCTTGGCAGCGTTTTCTTGCCTCCTCATCACCCAGCTGTGTTCTCATGCAGCCAGACATCCCAGAGGTGAAGGCTTCCCATCACCCCCCTCCAACCTTCCTCCTGCATCAGACTACCCCAAACTACAGGGCTTTCTCCAAAAACCTCCAGGCACTCCGCATCCTAGTAATTCCTGTGACGTGCCTACGACTTCCTTATCCGTGAGTAAAAATTTAAAAAATGGACTTAAGCACGGGATCAGCTCATGATCTCCTATAACATTCTTCTTTTGCTCTCCAGAAATGAGTTTCCCGCCAAGAGACAATGAAGAGTAAATTGCAATTCCTGTATAGCCAACAAGCCTAGAGTGGTCTCTAGTATTACAATGAGACTCTGCAACAATCAGGAGTACTCAAGAGATACCAAAGTTGGAAGAGGACCATGTCACCAGCCAGGAATTCAACACTTCTGAGAAGAAACCCAAAAACTATTTTTCCTAACAAATCCCACAGAATAGTATTCAGTTCAACTGAATAAAATAGTATGGCACAACATAATACCAGATTATGGATTCTCCCACACAGTATTCTGATTTGAACAGTTCCCAGAGGGAAGTCTATAAGAACAAGGCATGCCTGAAGTCATTTGCCTGGCACTCCCAGGTCTCCAGGAATCACAGGGTGAAAGATTCAGAGCCAGAAACTGAATCCAGACAATCTACCAGTGGGCCCATCCTCTATGAACTGCCTAACTCCTAGGACAGCACAGCAGCATCCCTTGGCAATGGATTAAAAAAACTTCTATTTAGACTGAGTGAAAAAAAAAAAATCCTTTTGTTTTCTTTAAATTTAATGCCTAAAAATTTCATAGGATGCAGTCTGATTCTTCTTGTCAGGAATTATTCTTTATACCATTCATGACTTTATACATTTCTATCATTTCTCCTTTAGTTATCTCTGTCCAAACTGAAAAGTCTCCATCTATTCAGGATCTTCTCAAGCAAATGCCATTACCAGCAGATGACCCGCTGGAAAGCAGCTCTGCAGAGAAGGAAGGACCTGGGAGTGCTGGTGGACAACAAGTTGACCATGAGCCAGCGATGCGCTCTTGTGGCCAAGAAGGCCAATGGTATCCTGGGCTGCATTAGGAAGAGTGTTGCCAGCAGGTGGAGGGAGGTGATCCTGCCCCTCTCCTCAGCCCTGGTGAGGCCTCCCCTGGAGTGCTGTGTCCAGTTCTGGGCTCCCCAGTACAAGAGAGACATGGCGCTACTGGAGAGAGTCCAGCGGAGGGCTACCAAGATCATGAGGGGACTGGAGCATCTCTCCTCTGAAGAAAGGCTGAAAGCACCGGGCCTGTTTAGCCTAGAGAAGAGAAGACTGAGAGGGGATCTGATCAACGTGTACAAGTATCTGAAGGGGGGGTGTCAAGAGAATGGGGCCAGACTCTTCTCCGTGGTGCCCAGCAACAGGACAAGAGGCAACGGGCACAAATGGAAACACAGGAAGTTCCATCTGAACCTGAGGAAAAACTTCTTGACTGTGAGGGGGACTGAGCACTGGAACGGGTTGCCCAGAGAGGCTGTAGAGTCTCCTTCCCTGGAGATATTCAAAACCCGCCTGGATGCAATCCTGGGCAACGTGCTCTAGATGACCCTGCTTGAGTAAGGGGGTTGGACTAGATGACTTCCAGAGGTCTCTTCCAACCTCAACCATTCTGTGATTATCTCCTCCCACACTAATAGTTCACTACAAGATAAATGAACAATGAAATACCACATGAAGTGTTTTTGTGTAGACCACCACCTCAAACAATAGGATTCATTTATTTGTGATTTTCTCTCCCTCTCTCATCTATTCCAATCTGCTGCCCTTCTTGTCTTTCAGACTTAGATTCCTAGAGGCAAAGTCTGCAGTCTTTGCTAGACCAATAGATACACAACTGTGTCATGGAGTGGAAAAAAGCAGACAAGATTTAGAGCATATATTCTTCTTTGAATCTTCAACAGTAAATTTGTGCAACAATGAAAACATCTTTTAAAGATCTATGTTTATTTTAACAATTAAGCGGCACTGAGGTTGTCGGTGAAGTCAACACTCAGAATAGCTGAAAGCTCATTTCCGAATACCATACAGGTGTGAGAAACTGCAGTCACTTCAACAAATATGTCTACCCACGCTTCAAGATCAGTGACTAGTATCAAATTTCTTGTTCAGTGGAAAGGTTGCTTATCAATTCCTTTTCTATTCAGGCCAAATAAGTTTTTAGACTTATCCTATTCCTCAGTGGGACTCATTTGTCTTTCTCTGGCTTTCAGATCATATTGACAAGTACCCATTTTTCTCACTGTAGCGACTAAAAGCACAAGTAGCAGGGAAGCAGGCTTTTCATGATGTAGGCACTGATTCTGCACTCAAAGCTATGCACGCAGAATCATGTGCTATTATCAGACAAATACTGAAAACACTGAGGTGGCAGTAGGATCAAGGTGTTGCAATACTTACAGGCATGAAGGACTACAACAGCGCATGTCTGTGGGGAAACAAATCATTTTCTCCTCTCCGTTCTTTCCCTGCCCTTTGCCTTACCTTTCTATTCAGAGGGCAAACCTCCAGGGCATGTTTCTCTGCTGCACCCACAGTGTCAGCTACAGCACACTTGCTTTTTCATGTCAGGGAGCAGAATTTAGTCTTTTTTCTGAAAAGTCTTTTTCACATGGCACAAAACAGTAGCTAGGCAGAAAAGCAGTCTTTCTCAGCAAGATGTGAAACAAGCTTTGCTAAATAGACTCCTTCCTGAAACTTCCCTGGGTATCTGCAACCAAAATTTTCCACTGGAACAATTTTCTTGCTAAGACATGGTACCATTTGCACAAGTACTTTCCACTCAGATCTCAAACCATGTGATAAAGGTGGCAAGCACAACTATGCCATTCCAAACAGGAGGAACTGATCTGCTGAGAGCAAGCTTAAAAGTTCTGAGCTTGTGAGTCTGAATAAGAACCTTATTTC